GCCCTCATCGTGTGGGTCATTTCCGGCCTCTTCTCGATGGTGAGTGCGCGCCGCGAGCACAACTAACCTGATATGCAAATGGGAGTAGGGCATTCGACCACCCAGACACCTGTTGCCCTTGCTGCAGCTGTAAATAAGCACCTGGTAAATACCAGCTGGTGGGGAAATAGTGGGATGCACGTGATGGAGGCGCGGGGAAAGGACTTTCTCATTCAATTACGAATGCTGGCAGAGCGCCGCAGCGACCTCTAATGAAATTATTGAAATTCCTGCACCCAATTCACCCCCACACGCCCACACACCCACACAGCCACACTGACAGGCACGCACACAAGCATGACAAGTCCGTGTCAAACGCACGGAGCGCCTGCTCAATAAAATTACGTATACGCAGCATTGGCAGTGACAGATGACAAAGATTGCGCACTTCCGCGGCACTTTAAGCTGAATATAAATCGAAGAAGCAATCCCCGTTTCACTTGTATATCTCAGAGCAGAAATGTCAATTCTACTGTTTATTCGAAGAATGGTACTGAACCTTTGGTTATATTTTAGGTGGGTGCCTACTGCTACGCGGAGTTGGGAACGATGATCACCAAGTCGGGCGCTGACTACGCATACATCATGGAGACTTTCGGACCCTTCATGGCCTTCATCCGACTCTGGATCGAGTGCATGATCGTGCGACCCTGTTCCCAGGCCATCGTAGCCCTCACTTTCAGCACCTACGTCCTGAAGCCCTTCTTCCCGGAGTGCACTCCTCCGGAGGACTCGGCCCGCCTGCTCGCCGTTTGCTGCATACGTGAGTTTCGATTGCTCTTCAGCACGTTGCATTTGTTTATTTGCTAATTTGTTGATTTGCTTACGGGCGAAAGAAGCTCCCCTGAACCGCAATCTCTGCACCCGCGTACTTGACCTATAGATTAGAAACTATTTAAATGCATTCTTCGAGTGGCGAGCAAATGAACACTCTGAAAGAGTTTGCCACATGCATCAAGCTTATCAGTCTGGCAGAATAGAGTGTTTTGTTTTGATTTAACTTGGAAACAAATCCATATTGGATTGTATGAATATTACATTTGTGATAAAATTCCATACTATGGGCATATGATAATTTTACGTTTATGGGAAGACGTCATTCTACTTGCGTTAATATTAATGGTAATTAGTAAAAATACCATAATAAATAAAATAATGAATATTACATTTATGATAAAATTACATACTATTGGCATTAGGATTCTTTTACATTTATGAGAAAACGTCATTCTATTTGCGCTATGATTAATAGTTGTTGGTAAAAATAATGAATATTACATTTACGATAAAATTACATACTATTTGAATTTCGATTATTTTACATTTATGAGGAAACATCATTAGTAACACTTTTAACAACAATTAGTAAAAATACCATAATAAATAAAATAATGAATATTACAATCATGATAAAATTACATACTATTGGCATTATGATTATTTTACATTTATGAGAAAACGTCATTCTATTTGCGCTATGATTAATAGTTGTTGGTAAAAATAATGAATATTACATTTACGATAAAATTACATACTATTTGCATTATGATTATTTTACAATTACAGAAAACGTCATTCTATTTGCGACAATAGTCGATGTTTTATCAGCTTACATTACAAATGAAACTTGCTTATAAATAGGAGTGATGCATATACAAATCATCGCCAATGCTTTGATAAACCCTCATAACTAAGCCTTTGCAGGGTGTATTGCCCTTTTAATTTTGCATGAACCGACTGCAATTCAATCGCAATTAAAACTTAATCATTTCCGACTGAACTTTATTCCCCAATGCCCAAGAGCACTTGTTGATAGGCGGCGCTTCCTCCCATTACTTAATAGTAGTAGTAGTGATTTAATTGTGCGGAATCAAGTGCGTTTGCTTTAGACAATAGAGGGGCCATAAATAACGAGTTGTCACATTAGCTCATGAAAGTCCTCGCTTTATTACATCACCCACATGGGTCGTTCGCATCTTTGGACTGATATCTTCGGCGTGACTCCGAAGTCGTGATGGAGGCTGCAATGTGGGTTAGGGGGCCTTTCCACATATATACACTTATTTTACTTTTCATTTTCCTCGCTTGCATTGCAGTTGTGCTAACCCTAATCAACTGCTGGGACGTAAAATGGGCGACTGCTGTGCAGGATATCTTTACATATGCGAAAGTAAGTCCGCTGGATTGGATTTCATTGGGTTGAATTGTAACTACTGCTCCCTTCTCAGCTGCTGGCCCTGTTTATCATCATTGCCACTGGCGTTTACCAGCTTTCCCTCGGCAACACACAGTACTTTACGTTTGAGAATACGGACACAAAAGTGACCTCCATCGCGCTGTCCTTCTACTCCGGACTGTTTGCCTACAACGGATGGTAAGAGGATTACGCATCACATCGGAGGCAGTTACTAATTGGATTTGTTTGCGCTGCCGTTGACAGGAATTACTTAAACTTCATCATTGAGGAGCTGAAGGATCCCGTCAAGAATCTGCCCCGCGCCATTGCCATCAGCTGCACCCTGGTGACCATTGTCTATGTCATGGCCAATGTGTCCTTCTACACCATCCTGTCGCCGGATGAGGTCATGGGCTCCTCGGCCGTGGCGGTGACCTATGCGGAGCGGGCCTTTGGCATGCTGGCCTGGACCATTCCAGGTGGGTTTCATGTGCTGCACTCTCCGTAATGGGGACCTACAATACTAATGAGCTTTTGCACTTTTGCAGTTTTTGTGGCCTTGTCCACGTTTGGAGCTGTGAATGGTATTCTGCTGACCTCCTCCCGACTTTTCTACGCCGGAGCCAACAACGGCCAGATGCCCGAGATCCTCACCATGATCCAGATCCAGAGATTCACTCCCACTCCCGCGGTACTGGCCATGGCCCTTCTATCGATGTTGTACCTCACAGTTTCGGACATCTTTGCGCTGATTAACTACGTGGGCTTTGCCACTTGGGTGAGTAGGCCAATGCAGATGTACTTCTCCAAGCCGCTAATTACCCTTTAATACTCTCTTCAGCTGAGCATCGGTGTGGCTGTTTTGTGCCTGCCTTGGCTGCGATGGGCCCAGCCCAATCTGCCGCGTCCCATCCGAGTGCCCATGGTGTTCCCCATTGTCTACCTAATCGCCACCGTGTTCGTGACCGTGGTGCCCATGTACGCCAGTCCAATAGAGACTGGATACGGCATTCTGATGATTCTGTCCAGCATACCCGTCTACCTGGTGTTCATCGCCTGGAAGAACAAGCCCATTTGGTTCCAGAAGACAATGAGTAAGTGGCTTCGCACTGACTCAGCTGAAATCTGCTTCCTTCCTGTTTATTTTCACTTATTCACGCTGTGATCCCCACCCATTTTTGATATTCTAGGCGGACTGACACAAGTTCTACAGAAACTGATGATGGTTGTGCGTCCCAAGGCGGCGTCAAAGGTTTTTAAGTTTGCTATTTATCCTAGTTTTACTTTGGTTCTTTGGTTACTTTGGTTCTAATCACTTGCCTGCCTTTACTTGCGCACTAATCTCTAGAAGAACTACTAACTCCACTAACGAACCTCAAGTTTTGCAACCGTAAACTCACTTTGCACCCCTAACTCTAGCCAACTAGTAGATGCACCTGTCCTAAGCCACTCATCTAATCCGACTCGTATTTTCTATGCCTTCCAGTAAGCCTCACACGATTCCTACAAAAAATGCTCATGGTACTCGGAAAGCAGACGAAACCAGCTCAGGTGTAAAGGTAAAGAACGTTCTTCGGGGACAACAGCAGAGATAATATTTCAAGTTAGCCAAGAGCAGAGAAAAGCATTTAAAAGCACACACTTGATTGCAGGATGCATTATATAGACAACGTAAACGCTTTTGTGTAGCCAACCAATGATATACATACGAAACAACACACAACTTCTGCCAGCTTCTGGGCGACTATACGATATATACCATATATATATTTTTATATACACATGTAACTCTTAAGTTGAAGCCAGGCCCAGTGCGCAGTAGGATTACGAGGAAGTTCCCAAAGGAGGTCGGCTCTGGATCCGAATTTAATAGAAAGACTGTGGAAAACTACAAGGAATCAAGGCGTCCAGTGCTGACCGTGAATTGGGTTCGAATTTGGCATTTTTAAACGGAGCTGTGCAAGCAGAACGAGTCTTTTAGGATCTTCAAGTATTCCCGGAAAGTGGTTAAGCAAACGGCGAAGCCCCGATAAAGCTATTGTTTATCAGTCACTGCATTTGAAAACTAGTTTGAAACATTTAGAAACCTTGCTCTAGGCTTAGCTTGAACTAGAAAAGCTAGAAGAACGCTTGAACATACTCATCAGAAGGATCTACAGAGCTAGTTTTAGCACTCTCAACTCATGAACATTTAGAGCACGATTGATTACTTTATTATTGATTTAAATGAATCTAGCTTAAGTGGCACCGCAATTCAATTTCATTTGTCTAAGTTAATACCTACATTTAGGTTGCTCAGTTTAGGTTTCACGTGTGCATCGTAGAGGGTCCTACCTGTACAAACCCCAAGCCAATATACAAAAACCATCGCCTAATGCACATATCCAACAGAAAAACGATTAAAGTTGTTGAACGAGAACAGGAACATTGCCAACATACATATTAAATATACTGAGAATAACACTATATGCAAATTGTTGTCTAATTACGAAACCAATCGTATCGAATTGATCTAGCATTGATTTAAACTTTCATTAGTTGTTGTTGCTTTAAGTGTTCGTCACTTAGTGTTATTCATATAAAATATTATTGCCTATTTAGCATTCAACTATTTAACTGTTACACATTAAAAAATACGGAGCCGCAACTGGGGAATCAGTTTAACTACTATGAAACATATTGTTGACAATAATATTGTATTTATATATAAATGTATATTATATTATATGATGTATGATGTATACCCTACAACCTCTGTATTTCTGGAAATAAGAACGATAACGGAAACTAAATGGAGCGCATTTATTAGTTCCCCTGGGAAAAGGAGTTTCACTACACATCACAAGAGCAGGATGACATTTAGCTAAACTTCTAGTCCCCCGAAACGCTGGAGTCCGACGTACTGATGTACTGGATCAAGCCGAGTCTTAGATTCTCCACCTCCCTTTGCTTGAGGGCTTTTTCCGCCTCCGAAAGTTCGTAGTTCTTAGTGCTGATGTAAACTCTGAGCGTTGGAGCGAACGTAGTTGCCTCCGCTTCAGTTTCGAGCTTCTTGAAATCCTTCTTCAGTATGGAATATATTTTACTGGAGGAACGAAGATCTCTGGGCGGCCTTTGAGGTCTCACTCCATCGCCGCCGCTTTCGTCATTCTCCTCGCTAGGATCTTGATTTATTGATCTTATTTCGCTTCGCAGATCCAAACTTTTCCTCCTGTACAGATCCACAAGATGCTGCTCCATGGCCAGTTTTAGCTCTGCAAACTTGGAGTCTATGCGCCCGTACCAATGTGCCAGACCATTGTAGTCCTCATCTGAGAACTTGGCCGTTCGACGCCAGTGGGCCAGGGAAATATCGGGCACTGATCTTAGGGAGCTCTGCGCTCCGGATGATCTACTTACTTTGCTCAAGTTGGTAGAACTTTGAGAAACGGGCTTGCACTTGGACTTGGACATCATTTTCCGAGCTTTCTCGAGACAGCCAAAGGCCACATCGGCCATCTTTAGGATCTGGCGCCTGGAATCCTTTAAGTCAGGAGCTATGGGCAGCTCGAACATCACTACTGCAGGAGCAGGGCTCTTGAAGTCAAAGGACTCCTTCAGGCAGTCGTTCAGAAGGGTGCTTCCATTTTGCCTGCCCGATGGCAAGCTCGTGAAGAACTCCACCAAATCTGGTCGGTTTTCGCTGCCAAAAATGTGAAACACTGAGAGGTGAATCCTGTGCTCCAAGACCAGGCTATCCCGGTACACAAACTCGAAGTGCAAATAGTCATCGCCAATTCCACGGCTCCTCAACGGGGTGAGATCATTCGTTAGCCACTGGAACAGCTCCTTGGTGCTGGACACACTTTTTCCGCTAGGTGAAACCATTCGGCGTTTGGGTACCCCAGTGGGTTGCACTAGCATGTTGACCATGTCGAACTTCCGGACATCGAAGTAGTCCACATTCACTGCTTTCAGGCGGCAGCGCATGTCGGCCATCAGTAAGTCGACTTCAGTGACCAAGAGACGGGTCAAAAGGCTGGGATTGTGATTTCTTTGGGATGAGATGCGCAGCAGACTTCCGTGGCGACGGTGACGGAACATTTGACCTAGTAAATCGCCCACTTCTGTCCTAATATGGCCATCAAATTCATACCCAATGCCGTCGAACTCCAAGTGGCGGTAGTAACGAGGAGGTTCCCCCAAGCTAGCGGGCTTAGTTGTGCTCTTGGGCATCCTCAAGAGCATTGACTTGCTGTCCAAGAGCCTGATATCATTATCCATACTTTGGTCATCCAAGTAAGCACGTCGCTTGGAATCTGTAAGAGTGACCAGCACTACGTGATCCTTTTTGGTCGCCGAAGGTCTGTTCATGATCAAGAACTTTTTGAAATTTTGAAAACTATAATTTCGACAGTCTAAAAGTAAAGTTTGATCAAAGACAACTAACTCATTCCATGACTCGAACTTTCATCTTAAGTTATTTAGATTCGAGCCCCAATCATTTGGAAACAATACCACCGCTTTCCAAGAGATTCTCCACATTCTCGAAACTTTTATTGAATTACCATTTTCTAAACATTGTAACCAAAAAGAACTTTACTGAATCTTCTTGATTGCCTCATACTTATACTTCTTTAGTAAGGGACACTTCCTTAGGGTCATAACGATAAAAAATGTAAAAGTTCCGAGGAATCCTAAAGCGCCAATCAAAAAGGTGCCGAGGACATCCAGGCTGTGGTATCTCACGAAATCCAAGTCCTTGCCGGCCACCTGCATGTGAGCAGCTCCCTTGTGCCGCAGGACATATTCGGTCCACCAGATCGCTTTTTCCAGGGGCTTCATTGGTTGATCCCGATATCTGGCAGCCGTAATCCTTGCGGTTTCCTCGAAACTCTTATTCGTCAGCAGCCGTATAATGGTCGAATTAAAGTCCTCACTGGTCATTTCCTTTATGTTGAGAACCAAACCAAGACCCATTTGCTTGACATGACCCATATTACGAAACTGATCAAAGAGACAGGGCAAACCCAGCATAGGCTTTCCATGATGAATGCTCTCAATGGTGCTCAGTAGCCCACCGTGGGTTATAAAGAGTTTTACATTGGGGTGGGCCAGGATGGCCTGCTGCGAGAACCATTTACTAATGAAAACATTTGATGGTTTTCCTGGCAGCTGCTCGTCCTCGAATTTCCAAAGGATTCGCTGTGGTAAGCTGGCAAAAGTCTCGAGTAATACTTTTCGGCGATCCTCGGATAGGGATTTGCTTCTGACATTGGTTCCAAGTGAGAAATAGATCACTCCCGATTCACCAGCGCCTTGGATAAAGTGGTCCAGTTCGGCGGGAAGAGCCTCTGGGTCCGGATTGACATGCAGACCACCCACCTCGATCATATTCGGAACATAGGGACGCGGAGGACCCAGTGTGAAGTGGTGATTGACAAGGACCAAAGCAAAGTTCCGGGATATCTCCGACAAGGATTTCCACTTGGCGGTACTGGGGAAGTATTGTCTATAGAGAGCTTCCTCTTTTCTTACATGTCGCCATTTATAGTTGATATAAGAAAGAGTTCGTTCCACAAACTGTGACAAACGCTGTCCATAAGCCCCCAAATCGTAAAACCGAGGAGAGGGAGATTGCAGGTACGAAATCGGTGAGATGTTGCCCATCAATTCGTCAATCTTCCAGTCGGTGCCATAGGAAGCCAATCCAATGATTGGGGCATCAAAATAGGCAGCCAGGCCACTAAGAACGTCGATTCGCCAAAGGTCCATTACCACAAGATCGAAATGAGGCTTCTCTGGGCCTAGAATATTGCACCGCACGCCCTCATTATTAAGCACTGTCTTTGTAAGATTCAGGACATATTCGTTAATGAAATCACTTTTTTGCCAGGTGCCCCTGGGCGTAGATGCAATCCTAAGTATTTCTGAAAAATATTAATAGGTATTTCTGCTTCACAAAATGGTTACTTCATCTCACCATTAAAGTTTTCCAAAACCTCCAGAACTGGAATATCGTGAATATTCTGAGACGGCTCCCTTTGTGGATACGGACTTACACTGGTTATTTCATGGCCCAGGGAGGCCAAACTCTTAAGATAGGGTAATGCGAAAAAGTAATGCGACGGACTTGGTAAGGGGAACACTGCCAGGATGCGAGCCCCTTCCAAATAGCCAGGAAGCAGACACATCAGCAGCAAGTTTGGCCACATAATTGCAGTCGGCAAGTTCTGCCTTCGAGCTGAAATAGAAGACTAGCACCGGTCTGCAGCACCGCCAATGATTTAAGATAAGGTTAACCGTGAGTTCTAATTGTCAAATTTTCAAAAAGATAAGCAAATCCAACAAAGAATGTCAAACAGTGGAAAAGTAGATCATTGAAGAGTGCTTATCACTGAATCCCTGCTTGAGACATTTTTCTTACTTCAATTGGTTATCTCGGAAATTAGGGCAGTCCCTTTGTGTGTAAAGCCTAGGATGGAAAACAAAGAATTAGCCTTTTTTCTTTACCGAACTTATCAGCACTCCAAAAACCGGTTCTTTAGTTTAAAATACAGCGATATAGAACTTTGGCGCCAACATATCGATACTGCCGATAGTGTCATCAGTGGACTTGCAGGCTTGCTATCGACTCTTGTGCACCACTAGCCATCAGTACAAAATACGCAAAAAATTTTCTTATTCCGGAAAATTCACTGGAAAAGCGCAACAGGTTGTTCTCTTTACGCAACAAAAACGACAGGAGCTCCCGTAGTAATTCATTTCCCATCGAATTTAAGTCAAATACTGCAACAAAGTAATGAAGCACGCAGCTGATTTGGAAACAGCTGCCAGCGCAGTATATGAAATTACACACCGGCTGAAATAACCCGGGGAGAAATCCGGCTAGAAATCGGAACCACCGATCCAGTATTCCAAAGTACCCAAATGTAGTCAGGATTTACCCATTAAGCTGAGATTTGATGAAGAAATGGCGGATGAAAAGGCTAAGGAATCCTTCCGCGAGCGGCAAGCGCAGGAGTTGGAGGTTATAAAGGTGAGCAGAGCAGCTGATTCACCAAAGCAGCTAATACAAAATTGTCCCTTCTTATTGGAACAGTCCATCTTTGGCGGTGATGTGGAGGACCTGCGACCCCAGGCGAATCCTTCCCTGTGGAAGCCAACGGACATAAGGATACAGCTTACCCCACTTAGGGACTCCTCCAATGGACTGGAAACTTATGTGTGCACCAAACTGCATGTCACCTGTCCTTCAAAGTATCCAAAATTGTAAGAGCCCAGTTCCAGTCTTACAAAAATGAATTTCGAACTGGAGAACTAATCACTAGATAACATAAGTAAACCAATCTCTCCGCAGGCCCCCTAAGATATGTCTCGAGGAGTCCAAGGGCATGTCGGATCAGTTGTTGGAGGCCCTACGCAACCAACTGCAGGCTCAATCCCAAGAGCTGCGTGGGGAAGTGATGATTTATGAACTGGCCCAGACCGTTCAGGCCTTTCTCCTCGAACACAACAAACCGCCAAAGGGCTCTTTCTACGATCAGATGCTACAAGACAAACAGAAGCGCGACCAGGAGCTACAGGACATGCAGCGGCAGCGGGAGTCTGTGCAACGCCAAACACTCATCGACGAGGTGGAGCGGCGCAAAGAGATGTTTAAAACAGAGGCTAAAAGGCGAGGCGAACCAAGACGCAGCATGAGCGAGTCTAACCCACGGCATCCTAGCTCGTCGGAGAGCTCCGAGAACTCCTCGCCCTACTATCGTGGTCACATCTACCCCTCCAAATGCCTCGATCACCGCAACACGGAGACGCTCTACTTCCACAAGATGGGCAGGCAAATTCAACGAGGATGCTGCGTTGGTGAGAGAACCCTCTTTTAAAGAGGATTTTTGTTTTGAATGCGTAGTTATTGTATGCAATTCCTAGGTCATTCCCAACGAGGGTGCATCGCCTACACTGGCATAGATATGCACTGCGGCCAGTTGCTCTATATCACAGAATGGAACATCAAGTACAGCCAACTGGAGCAGCCGTGCATCGGCGGAGGCAAGTGCCACTGGAGCAGCGAGTCAAAATGCATGGGCAGTCATCGTGTGGACGAAGTGATCGCCTCCATTGAAAAGCAGGTGTCCTCGCTGGCCCAGCTGCAGCACAAAAATCTCGTCTCGTACGAGTGCGTTCTTTGCATCAAGCGGAAGGAAGGCTTACTTGTGTATTTGGTCCAGGACTTCCTCCTCGGCACCAGCGTGTTCAGCATATCCTCCTCGCTGGGTTGGTGCATGGACGGCGCACGAATGGTTGCACGCGGCGTGCTGGATGCCTTAATATTTCTTCACAACAAGGGTGTATCCCACAGTCACTTGCTCGACAGCACTGTTTTTATGGACAACACAGGCAATGTTCGTGTATCAGACTTTTCGCTAGTTCCCAATCTTTTAGAACTTCTGAGCGGAGCTGGCCAAAGCAGCAGTTGCGGGGACTTACCCGCGTTAGGTGCCCTGGTGGAGAGCTTGATGCCCACTAACAGTTATGAGATGCGCGACTTTGTGGACAAGTAATTAATTGGAATGAAAACGTAATCCTTTTTAACCCAATGTTTTCTCTAGATGCAACTCGGACCGCACGCTTTCCGCATCAGAGTTGTTGGAGCATCCATTCTTACGCTTTTACGTAGACAATGGCCAGCAGCAAGTGATGCCATTAACACAGCAGCAGCATCCGAATACCGTCCAGCGCACTGGACCCGCCATGCCCTATCAGATACCGACACTGGCCTTAAGCCAATCCCGCCTGCGAACAGAATTCGAGGTGCTCATGTACTTGGGAAAGGGTGCCTATGGTGACGTGCTAAAAGTGCGCAACATTTTGGACAACCGAGAGTACGCCATCAAGCGCATACCGTTGCCCGCGAGGAGTCGCCAGTTGTACAAAAAGATGACGCGCGAGGTGGAGCTGCTTTCGCGGCTGAATCATGAGAACGTTGTTCGATACTTTAACAGTTGGATAGAGAGTGTGGATGACGCAGATGCCGCTGAGATGGATAAATTGCTGGGTGGTGAGTGGTCCCAGAGTCAGCAGGACCTTAGCGTGAAACCTGCCAAGTCACCACAGCTGGGGCCCACTTTAGAGGAGGATGAGGATGAAGAGGACAGCTCATCCAGCATGTGGAACGGTTACATGTAAGAATCAGCTTATATGCTAATTTAAATGAATGTAAGCACCTGTTTGTATCCGTCAGACCCAACATGGAGGACTCCGACTCGGATGGCATTGAATTTGTGGACTCCAACGGCAAAGTGGCTGTCTACGACGACGAAGAACAAGAGGAATCCACCAGAGGCAGGACTAATTCGCCCAGACCTTTGATGCAGGTCATGTACATCCAGATGGAGTTCTGCGAGAAATGCACACTTCGGTATGTTTCTCGTAAAATTCACCAATTAAACAATATGAATCTATTTAATAACGTTGCAGCACCGCAATCGATGACAATCTTTTCAATGACACGGATCGTCTGTGGCGTTTATTTCGGGAGATTGCCGAGGGCCTCGCGCATATTCACCAGCAAGGCATTATTCATCGGGACCTAAAGCCCGTTAACATTTTCTTGGACTCGCACGATCAGATCAAGATCGGTGACTTTGGTCTGGCCACCACCAGTTTTTTGGCCCTGCAGGCCCACGACACAGCACCTGCGCCTGTTAACCAGATAACCAGTGCGGAGGACGGTACTGGCACTGGTAAGGTGGGCACCACTCTTTACGTGGCCCCCGAGTTGACAGGAAATGCTTCCAAGTCTGTGTACAACCAGAAGGTTGATATGTACACCCTGGGAGTCATTCTCTTCGAGATGTGCCAACCGCCATTCGACACAAGCATGGAGCGCGCTCAGACCATTATGGCCCTCAGGAATGTTTCCATCAATATACCGGATGCCATGCTCAAGGATCCGAAGTATGAGAAGACGGTGAAGGTAAACACGTCGCCATCTTGATAAACGCTCAAATTTTCACTGTAACATAATCTTCAAGATGCTTCAGTGGCTTCTTAACCACGATCCAGCCCAGAGACCTACGGCCGAGGAGCTGCTCATCTCAGACCTGGTTCCACCAGCCCAGTTGGAGGCCAATGAGCTGCAAGAAATGCTGCGTCACGCCCTCGCCAATCCGCAGAGCAAGGCCTACAAGAACCTGGTTGCCCGGTGTCTTCAGCAGGAGAGCGACGAGGTGCTGGAACACACCTACCACTTGGGCAGCAGTCGAGCTATGAAGTCCTGGAACTCGGCAATCATAATCGATGATATAGTGTCCCTGAATCCCGTGATTGAGTTTGTTAAGGCCAAGGTCGTGAATCTATTCCGCAAGCACGGAGCTATAGAGGTGGACTCACCGCTCCTGTCCCCACTTTCCGCAAGAAACAGCAGTGCGAATGCGAACGCCAATGCCGTGCACCTGATGACGCACTCGGGATGTGTGGTGGTGCTACCCTGTGATCTGCGGACACAGTTTGCCCGCCACGTGACCATGAACAGCGTGAATCTCATCCGGCGCTATTGTGTGGACCGTGTATATCGGGAGGAGCGAGTGTTCAATTTCCATCCCAAACAAAGCTACGACTGCTCTTTCGATATTATTGCGCCCACAACTGGAAGCCATCTAGTGGATGCGGAGCTGCTATCGTTGGCTTTTGAAATCACCAGTGAACTGCCCCGTTTACGGGAAAAGAATCTGGCGATCCGCATGAATCACACTAATCTGTTGAGGGCCATCCTTATCTTCTGCAATGTTCCAAAGGCTCAGTATGAAGCACTTTTCGAGGGCACCATGGACTTTATCGAGTCGCGCATCTCACGCTTCCAATTTCACTCGAGTATAACAGGGATTATGGAAAAGTCGCGGACATCTGCTCAAACTCTAATGGACATGTTGTTAGCCAACTTTCTGTTGACTGGTTCCAGAAGCACGGTGGACGATTCCGCGCTGAAATCGTTGATGCGGGGAAAGGGCGAAGCGGCTTCACTGGCAAGAGGAGCACTACGGGAACTTGAAACAGTTGTGGGACTGGCTTACAGTCTAGGCGTAAAAGTAAGTACATTTCTTTTGAAAGCAATGTATTTTTCTAACCGTTCGCTTTCAGTGTCCTATTCACATATGGGCTGGCTTGCCCATCAGTTTCGATAGTGCCAGCAATGGTGGAATTGTGTGGCAGATGACCGCTGACCTAAAGCCGAATCGCTCTGGTCATCCTTCAGTTCTGGCGATCGGGCAGAGATACGATTCCATGCTGCATGAATTCCAGAAGCAGGCGCAGAAGTTTAATCCAGCCTTGCCGGCACGAGGAGTTCTGAGCGGAGCGGGTTTGACGTTTTCCCTAGACAAACTAGTAGCTGCTGTGGGTGTGGAATACGCTAAGGATTGTCGGGCGATAGACGTGGGCATTTGCGTGTGTGGAACGCGTCCGCCGCTGAAGGATGTGACCTACATCATGCGCCTGCTGTGGTCGGTTGGCATTCGTTGTGGCATTGTGGAGGCCGCCAGCGAATTGGGTGATGAAGCACAGGATCTTGCTCGCCTTGGGGCGTTACACGTCATCCTAGTGGCGGAAAATGGATCCTTGAGAGTGCGCTCTTTCGAGAGGGACCGCTTTCAGGAGCGTCACCTAACAAGAGCCGAACTGGTGGAGTTCATCCAGAAGATGCTGCGAACTGATGGACTCAATGGAACCACCGTCGACAACTTCAGCCAGTTGTCAACCATGGGTAGTGGCGACAGCAGAAGCAGTGGTGGCAAGGAACGGGAACGCGGCGAGAATGGTCTGAGCACCTCCGCATCGAATGCCACCATTAAGAACAGCTATAGCCAGCTGCCGAATCTCCAGGTGACGTTTCTCACCCACGACAAGCCTACGGCGAACTACAAAAGACGCCTGGAGAACCAGGTGGCGCAGCAGATGAGCTCAACGCTATCGCAGTTCCTCAAGAAAGAGACCTTTGTGGTCCTGGTGGTGGAGTTGCCGCCTGCTGTTGTAAATGCCATTGTAGGGGCCATCAATCCACGAGAAGTACGCAAGAGAGAGACTGAACCGGAAATCAACTTTGTGATCGAGCGGTAAGTTCATAAATCATCTTTTTTGGTCTGCCTTCATCGGGCTTCGTCCATTCATAGATTTTCGAAATATAAGCGCTATATATCCGAGATAAACGAAGAGATTGTGGACTATCTGAGCGATGCCAAGACTCCCATTGTGGCCTTGTACAGCATTTCCGATTCCTACTACCGCGTTATTATCTAGCCAGCACCAAATGCATAGAATCGGCGGCACTACTTAGTAGACCAGCCACTAGTTTAAGCTTGAAGGTGTCACAAATTATTTTGGTCGAAATTCTACTTAACTGGCTGTCTTCCGTGCCATTTACATTTGGAATCAAAATTATGTTACTTAGTTTGTGCGATCAAAATTGAAGAGATTTTATGTTTCTGTGTCCATTGCAAATGGTTAAGAACTTATTTCTTTGGAAAAGAACATAATTCTGCCAATTATTGAATACTTTTTTAATGAAAGCTCTAATTCATAAGCACATACTTTATTATTACTTGGTTAAAAGTAAAATCCTTGCATCTAAATCAGTTAATAGTTGGAAATTAAAAAGAATCCTATTTGAATTTGTGAAATTATATTTAAACCAGACTTAATGTATCCGAACTGAAAGGAATATTCTTGCACTTCGAAATTAAAGTTAAGTAGAGGCTAATATTTTCAGAGAAAATTCTTCTTAAGTGTTTTATAAATAGCAACTTGGTCCAGCGATAACAATTGATTCATACAGCCGACGGATAAAGACGTGAGTCTTCATCCAATATTTTATATACGTACATCTTTTAAGGACAACATTTTTGAGCCTACAATAAAATTTCAAGTTTTGAAGGCGTCTTTCCGCAGAGGAAACATAAGGAAAGCTATCTGTACAAGTAAATTTGCATCCTGGAACTCACGTCCCGGTCTCTTCGGCGGATTTGTTGAGCGAACGGGGTATTCCCAGAGCAGGTCCTTGGAGAACCTTTCGCGAAAGACGCATAAAGCCGGAGACGGGATCGCGGCCAAAGTACTTGACCTGGATCTCCTGACCCACCTCGAGGTTTAGGGCAGAGGGATGGGCTATCTTGCGCTGATCCAACTGCGAGTTGTGCAGCAAGGCGGGCGGCATACTGGGATACAGGATGACCATTACTCCGGTGTCCCGCAATTCGGTTATTTTGGCAGTGTAGATTCCGCCGAACTCCAGGTCCGGCACTCGTTCCTTCACCATGTAGCCCTCGATCAGCTCCTTGGCCTCATCCATGGCCGCTTGAGAAGGAGCAAAAATGCTAAAATGGGTCTCATCGACTGCTGTTAGGGAGGTGCCCGTTTCCAAGTAAATCCGCTTCATGTGAAGGCCGCTGGGACCAATTAACTGCGCCCGCTGCTGCGGCTCCACAGTGAGGGTTTCACTCACTGGCCAGCTGTCCTTGGGGTATTTTCTAAACGATCGCGGGGAGTATTATGAAATTAGCAATTGAGACCACGTGGTTCCTTTGAGTGACGTTTACTCACCGAGGTTCCCTAATAGCCTCACTCATGATGTCCAGAATTTTGGATTTGGCATCGGTGGCTTTTTGTAGCGATTCCATCACAACCTTGAGAGGAATTCCCGGTACCTTGAGGTCCGCCTGGATGGCGGTGAAGCCTTTCCTCGTGCCAGCCACCTTCATGTCCATGTCGCCCATGTAATCTTCGATTCCCAGGATGTCGGTGAGAATGCGGTAGTCCTGCAGGTGCTTCGTGTCGTCGTTCTCGAACTTTGTGACCAGGCCAATGGCCACACCTGCTGCAGGTGCACTCACTGGGACTCCGGCGTCCATAAGAGCCAAGGAGCCACCACAAACGCTGGCCATGCTACTGCTCCCATTGGATTCTAGAACTTCGGAGGTGAGTCTCACAGTAAAGGGGTACTCATTGGGCAGGGTGGGAAGCAGCGATCTCTCCGCCAAGGCTCCATGGCCTAGTTCCCGGCGACCCACTGGACCAATCCGACCCACTTCACCGGTGGCATAGGGCGGGAACTCGTAGTGCAGCATAAAGTTCTTGGCCTTCAGGCCACCGCTTTCTAAGGCAGTCAACGAGTCCAGCTTCATTGCGCTTTCCTGCGAGTCCAAGCTAACCGTGCAGAAGACCTGCGTCTGACCGCGCTGGAATAGAGCGGATCCGTGGAGAGGCTTGTACATGTCCACCTGGCAGGAAATGTTCCTCAACTGGTCGTAGTCCCGTCCATCGCAGCGAAGACCGCGCTCAAAGATCAGCTCGCGAAAAATGGTCCTACAGGTCTGGTTGAACTGCTCGGCAATAAGCGAGGGTTCGGTATCCGGAAACGAACTCCACACCTTGTCGATAACGTTGGAGCGCACCTCGTTCACCGCATTGTCCCGCGAGATCTTGTCATGCGTAGAGTCCTGGAAGATCTCTCTCAGTCGCATCTCGCACATGCTACGCACAGCTTTCCCCAGTTCGGGATCGACTTCGGCAGCCACTTCCACTTCGCGCTTCTGACGACCATAGGCCTTCTGCAGTCGCTCAATCTCGTGGATGATGAACTGGGCTTCGCGAGTGCCTTGTTTGATGGCCTTGAGCAGATCCTGCTGAAGAACCACATTGCCCTTGCCCTCCAACATAACCACGAGGTTTTGTTTGGTGGCGGAGACTACCAAGTCCAGTTGCGAAGTCTGCAGCTCCCGGCGCGTGGGATTGATCAGCACCTCGCCGTCACAGAGGCCAACGCTTCGGAAGACGGAAAGATGAAAGAAGCGTTATAAATGGTTCCCAGCTCGATTCGTTCGTGACCACTCACCGCACTGCTCCAATAGGGCCATTCCAGGGAATATCACTTAGAGAAAGTGCCACGGAAGCGGCATTGATTGCCAGGACATCCGGACTGTGCACCGCATCCATAGCCAACATGTTGCACACTAGCTGCGTCTCGGTGCGATAATCTTTATGGAAGAGCGGACGCAGCGAGCGGTCAATTAGGCGGGCAGACAGGATCTCTTTTTCCGAGGGACCCAGTTCCCGGCGCATAAAGTTCATGGGTATCCGGCCAGAGGCGGCGTTTTTCAGTCGGTAGTCAACCACCAGAGGCATGAATCCCTGGCCGGGATTTGGCTTCGATTTGGCCACCGCGGTGACCATGACGGCGGTGTCGCCCATTTGGCACACAGCTGTTCCATTCGCAAATCTCGCCAGGCGGCCGGAACTGAAGGTCATGTTACGTCTGCGGAGGACTTAGGGATTTTACTATTGGAACTTGGAGTGGAGGCCACCAACTCACCCATTGCTAAAGTTGACTTCCACGGAGGGCGCTTCGCCGTTGGAACTGCTCTGGATTCTTCTCCTTCCACCTGGGCAGGACAAACTTAGGCATTTGAGGCGATAGTTGAGCAGCTTCAGCGATTTCCTTGTGAAAATCATGGCCATTACCTAAAAGTGCCGGGTAATTCCGGCTGGGGCGACAGGTGTATACCCTGTATAACAATGGTTATTTTAGGTAATCATTAGTGGTTAAAACCTTACAATAGACCCCGTGTACGTTTTTTAAGACTTGGAACCTAGTTGGCTTCAACTATTTTTATTGTTCAGTTCAGATTTTTCCGAATGGAATGCCGAGTTAAAAAAAGGTAGAGTGTGCAACATGTGTGCATTTGGCGTTGCCACCTGGCAAAGAAACTCTAAAAATCTTAAATAAGCGGCTACGAACTTTTTTTGAAGATTGTGTCTTATAAATAATTTAATCTCAATTCAGCATGAATAAACTATACAAATTCGTTTGCAATAAGATACTTTATAAAGTATTTAGACATTTGGTTTATGTCCTCGCTAATGTCAAATTAGCAGTACTGCCAACTGCTTCCTCAACAAATGCACATTATCGCATGCGAAAACGGCAATTAAATTCTTGTTGAGCAGTTAAAAATTTAGATGGTCCGTTGTAGAATAGTTCGAAGTAGTCAAAATTGTCGACGCTCGCCAAATGAACAAAATTCTCTCTAATTAGCTGTTGCTGAAGTGCGAGCTAGCTATAAAATAGCTGAGTTATTGGCACTGCACAGTCCGCCAAAATTAGTGCATTTTTATACGCGTTTGAGGTCTTTTAACCGCGAGTCGATGGCATCTTTCACTAACTCAACGACGGTCTTACAGAAGACTCAAATATTTTTCGAGCAGGCGTTTCGCGGATCCATCGTTATTCTTGGGGACTTGCAAAAAGCCCAGTTGCGAACGTCGTCGTGTAGCGTCTTAGAAGAGCCACTCCTCCGATCGGAACCCCGCAGTAGAGTCGAGCCTTGGTTTTCCGAGCCTTTTCGAAAAAAGCTGGGAATTTCACGCCGTATTTTTTCCGTCAACGAAACGCCGCGTGTGTCGTAGTGTGCGTGTGTGTGTTTCTGTGTGCCCGCCCATCTGTGCATGTGTGAGAGCGCAACTGTGTGTGTGAATTTTGGTGAGAGCCGCAACAACAACCGAAAAGAAAACCAAAATCGACAAATGCGGTCAAATTGAAAAGAAAAACAAAAAATCAAAGAGTAATTCTTGCGCAAAGCCAAAAGGCAAATTGAAAAAAGAGCACAAAGCCAAAAAAAACGCAGATTTTCCAACGAAAAAGCCGGAAAATTGCCCACTAGGCGTGTCGCTGCTGCTTCTTCTTTCAAATTGTTTATGCTGCAATTGCCTTGGTGTGCGAAAGGAGTGGTAGAGAGAGAAGGGAAAGCGCCTTATCAACGACCGCTTTCTTATCAGAACCCGCACATTTGTTGCGAAAATTCCAACCAGCCGAAACTCACTGCGGAGCTTTAAATAGAACATCAAACAAACAGGTAAGTCTCATTAATCAGGTTGAAATCACCTTATTTTCTACTTTCCTCGCTGGTCACAACTCAATGGCTGTTCCCCTCTTTTGCACTTAAGCACTTAACGGTAACTGTAAATTACACACACGTTGGCCTTGTCTCTCCTGGCGATTAATTGCATTAAGGCCGCAGGACTCGCGCCATCCCTTTCGCCCCATGTCAATCGATTAAAAAGTGAAAGCAATCGGAAAACGCTTATCAGTAGGTCCTCCTTCCTTGCTCTTTAAATACATAAATGCCCGTGCACACATGCAGGCAATCAGCCAAACAATGCACAATATGATATGGTGATATTTATAGCTCATTATTTATTGTCTTGTTGTTCTCGTCCATCATTTGATCCGCTGAAGAGGGCTGATCCGTAAATAAATGAAAAGTTATCGAGGTAATGGATGAAATTGTTTGATCATTATAATTTATACTTTAATTAGTACTTTATTTTTATTTTTTATTTAAACTAACAATTTTTCAATGGTGAATCGTCAGATAAAAAATCACTGAGTAGTCTGGTGCAAGTGAGTAAGCTTGTTAATTTTTATTTACTAAAATATCCTGAAGTAATATCTATTGCTCACACAAAAATATATTTGGCATTGTGGTGACTAACCGCCATGTGTGTTCTCTGTTTAATATAAACACAAATATCAAACTTTTATATTTATATAAAATTTGTTGAGCTGATATCAGTAAATTCATATTAATAAAAAATTCACTTTTGTACATACGACTTTCAAAATACTTCACGTTTTATTCATAATGACGAAATTTTATCAAACATATGGGGCACAGGAAATTGTTAAAGCAATTTCCAAAACTTACAGAAAACTATTTGCGGTACTCGAACTCAAATCTGTATTTTTATAGCATGAACATCAGAAAAAGAACTCAGACCAATTAGTGAAACCATTTTGAAATCACCATAAATCAGCGTGGTTGTCCGGGCAATAAATTCCCGTTTCCATTTGCAGCTGACAAATGCGAGTCGTTAAAAATAGTTTTTCCCCAAAAGCATAACTTTCCCCCGCTTTTCAAGGGCGACCCTCGCAATGTTTCGATGTACTTTCCTTATCGCCTTTGCATTTCGAGTTGTTTTTTCTGTGGGACGTCATCGGCAGCCGGGTGTCTCTGATTGCTTCAGAATCGCCGGCTGCATAATTAAGATGAGCTGGACGTTTAGCTGATAAACGTTTCCGCTTTTCATCGGAGAATGGGAGTCAATGTGCCATTCACAGAAGAACTTTACTCCACAGATGGTGATGGTTAAAGTCCGAGATCTCTGATGTGTGACCCCATGGGGTGCCCTTTTCAACTGTCAGGTCGCAACTATTGTTTCGATGTTTCGAGGGCTTGCGTCACAGTTTATCGACTCGAGTTCCATATTCCAAATTCCGAATTCAGAACTTAGAGTCCCGAGAACTCGCAACCCATTCCCACAGGATGACGTAGGCATTTGGCAGAAACATGTGTATCCTCGGTATCCTGGGCCCCGTGCAGACAACAATAAACCATCAGTTCCAACCCCATGGGCAAATAAAACCCAATCGAATATTATTATCAATGAGGGCAGGACCCAAACAACGAACGCCAGTTCGAGCGTGGAGGAGAGTTGGCCACATGCTGCTCTTCCCTTGGCAGGATATCATCGCCAGCACTTGGACCCAGCCCACTAAACTTCCCAATTCCAATCCCGACCACGCCCACATGCCATCATCATCGCCTTCTGCGCTAATTTGGCGCGACTTTGACACTTGTTAGCCAATATGTTTTTGGCTCGTGTTAATGGCCCAACGGGAATTGATATTAATTGCGCCGTACGCCCCTCACGCTGCCCGAACTGGGCGTGGTCGTCGGTCAATATTGTTGGTCTCTGGAAAAAAAAACAGAAAACACAAATGCCCCGAAAATCAGCTTAAATCAATTTTTTGTGGTCGCCGCCTTTTGTTCACTTGCTGGCATTTTGTCCAAAATCGGCTTACCAACTTCGGTGCCTGTTTTTCTTGCAACTTTGGGTTTTACAGAGGTTTTGAGGTTCCCTTCTTGTTCAATCTAATTAATCCAGCCAGCCTTGATTGAGAATATGGGATTTACCTAGCCCTTAAGAAAACCAGATTTCCTCACCCTTTTCTCAGCCAATGAAAACTGAAAGCGCTCCCGAGGTTTCCATTTTTCCAGGCCCTGTGTTTTCCTTTCATGTGCCCTAATAAAACTAAATTCAATTAGAACTTGCAGTTGGAGTTCCTTGTGCGTGTGCGAAAAGTTGGAGTGAAATGTGAGAAAAGTTTTGCGGAATATGTCGGAAAAGTGAAGGAGGAATGGGATCAGTGTAAATGGGCGCAGGGCACATGAACTCATTAGTTGCCAAAGGAAGTCTCCGGAGGGCATGCAAATTTAATCGAATCACTCCGAGCGAAAAGCCATTTAATGATGGTTCTTTTACTTCAATTTCGAATAGATGAAAAGGATTCTGCCAATTCTGCTTAATGGGTTTTGAAAGAAACAGCGGGCTAAGCGTGTTGGGTATAGTCTTTACTCCTTAAATAGTCTGTACTTATACTATATTCACATACCAAATTTGGTAATAGAGCTCCGCCCCTTCCCAACTGACTGGAATTGATTCCTAATGGCCTCTCCTCCGTGCTTCTCATCATTTCCAAGTGCTCACCATCCGGGCGAACGCTTGACACACGTACACAGTCTGCCGTTGCCTTGATAAGAAGAAACAGAAATTCCTGGTGCTAATATACACGACAGGAATGACAGGTGGGCTGATGGTCATGAAGCAAAGAGAAGCCAACATGGCGTAATGACCTTGATAAACTTTCGTTTCAAAGAGCTTCCATCGCAGTGTTCTTTCCGGGATATTTGGCTGGCGGCTATGTTATTTGCTCTTGTCTGCCGAAAATGTTTTACATTTAGAATCTCCCCCGAAATAACCGCTGTCCCTCCCCCATTAGAAAACAACTCGTAAAGTACACATAGACAAAAAAGAAGTTCTCTCTCGACATTTTTTGTGGTCCCCCTCCTGTGCCCAAAATTGTTCGGCTTATGCCGCTTCGACGCTTTTGTTGTCTCTTTATTTTCAGTTTTGATTAAAGACAAACCCTTGTCGGCCCCAACCACTGCCCACCGCCCCTTTTCACCTAGCTTCGACTGAGTATTATTACCACTTTGTCGCATCAACCTTTAAACTCTGTCATTTAATGGGAAGCTGTGCTTTGCCTTTTTCTCCTCTATCCGGTTTTGTTTGCGAGGTCCAGAAATTGGATTTTTTCGGGGGCTCTGACTCTGTCAACACAAAAATAGGATATCATGATTCACCCGGAGCAGAGGATTCAAAAAAATTATGCAAAGTGTCATTGAACAAACAGCTGGAAGAAAAAGGTAAATCGTTGTCGGCGTCCCAGGCACTTTAAAACCAATCAGAAAACCATAACGAAACAGCAAAGTGCTGAGCAAAAGTGGCAACGCAACGTGGCCAACACCTTGACTTCGTCTCGGCCAAGTTTGGCGCCTTGGCAACAGCGACTTGGCCAAACGAAACGAAAAGGGCGGTGCAGGAGCCAAATGGAATTCGCCAACGGTAGTCGAAGAAAGGAACACCCTTGTCGATCAAATAGTAATTCACGTATTACATTTAAAGGGATTTCAAAGCAATAAAAAGTGCTACTGCATTCTGGACCATCTGAATTGATTGACAAATTGTACGCTTGTCAAAAACACTTTACCATTGATTCATAAAGCAAACGCATAAAATGTTTCATCTAAAGTTTATAAAACATTTTATCAAACATTTGTTGAGCTGAAAAATGATTATTCATACCATACAAAAGTTATTCAGGATTTTATCCAAATAGGAAGCGGCGTTCAGCGAGTTTTAAACCGGTTGCGTGCCCAAATTAAAATAATTTAATTTATATACAATTAAAGTAACATATGGGTTAAGGCCTTGAACTTTACCAAACCAGTTTGAAGTCATCTTCGTACATGTTGTGGTTAATTTTAAATTGTGATATTGAAATATTATGCCAGTGACTTCTCCCACCACAGAGTGGCACTGCAACAAATTGATTATGACTAACCGGCCAAAGGGTATGGCCACATTCTTATGCAAAAACTGGACTGCAGAACAGGATTTTTTCGACCAGGCTGCAGACCGAATCTGATGGAGCCCAATTCGAGGTCCCGCCATACGTGTAGAATTCATTAACAATAATGCGAAGGGGTAAGGGAGGGGTGCAATCAGAGGGCCCCAGAGTTTCCAGGAATTTCTGTTTAAGCCTGATCCTGGGTGGTCTGTTGTTCGCTGTTGGCATTAAAAGGGCCTGAAAGAGTGAATCTCAGCATTTTGACTTTTTAACATTTAATTTCATGTAAACAATAGGAGGCTCTTATCGTTGCAGTTGTTAACTTGTATTTTGTATTACTATCTCTTTCAGTTGCCCAATCAGCAAGCAGATATCAGCAAATCGGTCAATTCCATTTTGAGAAGCCAAAGGTGAGTTTACGATTTCCTGGAGCTCAAAGAATTTTATCTGGCCAATTGATAAGACACACTATTCACGTTTCGCCATAAATTATGTCATAGATAGACCCTATAAAAACTACTGACATATATAGAATCATTTGATTGACGAGCACGACGCTCATTCAAATGAATTGACATTCATTCAGCGACAGTCTGGTTGCAATTTTCCCCAAAGAAACTTCTAACTGGCAACGATTCAGCGAACTGCTATCGTTAAGTGTTTCCTGACGTTGGATGATTTTGTTTTTTCAGTGGCCAATCGTATTTTTTATTGAATTTATCTGCCACGAGAACACAAATCATTTTTCATTCACTTTACAAGAGACTCATTGTGCAAAAATGTTTTGGTCTTAAAATTGTTTACTGCGTTAGGCACTCGTTCATTTAAAGTGCTTACTTTTCGTGGGTCTATCAGTTTTGCCGAAGAATTCTACTTGATAAGCATAATTACCTGAGAGGTTGAACAACGCAAATATATTTAATAATAGGTGTGCATAACTGTTTTTGATAAAGAATTAGGATTACTTGTAGTCGGTAGTGTTCCAAAGTACGCAAATGTATTGATAACTCGTCGAATATGGATTGTATACCACAATTTCAAGTCCATTTGTCAAAAGAAGTTGTTAGGAGTGTGCCGGTGTTCAGAATGTTTTTGTGCTTAATACAGCAATCTTAAACAATATATAAATTGAAAGACAGGAGTTATAAAAACATAAACGTCCCTGTAGCATCAACACTAAATTTAATGGTAATAAAAAATAGATAACCCCATAAAAGTCGTCGTTGTGTCGTCTTCTCTGTACGTGTTTTATGGTAGCGAACGGTTGTTTGGATCCTTTCGAGTGTGCTGCATTTAAACTTGTTATTTATTGTTATAAATTTTTAAACATTTGTCCTCCCTGCTGACACATTTGCCGAGTTGGGTGCCTTTTGTTACGACGTTGACATTTGCTGCAAACACAGGGGCACAACATTTGTTCTGTGCAACGACAAACGGCCTTTGTTGATTCTTGGGCTCACAACTTTTGCCTAGGTAATTTGCCAGCGACGCCTACGGAAGGGGGCGTGGCAGCTGGGAAAGGCGATTAGCAACAAAAAGCAAACTTGTTAGCAACATATTTTTCCCGAGTCGAGGGTAGAGCAAAAGTTTCTGTTGCACTTCAAATTTAGTTTGTTATATTTTGCGCCACCCGTTCCCTGCGCTTCTGCTATTTTTCCATTGCACTTGTCAGGGGGCAACTTTGTGTGGCACTCGAAGTGACAAAGAAAGTTTCCTGGCCCATTCCGGAGTATTCCCGAACTCGCAGCTGGCACTTGCCATTGACCATTTACAATATATATCGTACCATTCCCATTTGGGCCACGTCCTGTCCAAAAGGACCTGGCGACGTCATGACGAATTTTGGCTGAAATGTTTATGAGCACATAAATTCTGACACAACACTGTCGGCTGTTAAATCCTCCCCCTACATTTTTTTGTGTGGTTACCTGGGAGTTTGATTTTCCCGTCTTCCTTTTGTTTCTTACGCGCCTGACAACTTTTGGCACATTTGTCGTACATCAAATTAGGAGCAGAATGCCCGACGGCGCGAAATGATTGAGCATTTGCATTAAGCCGAATCAACACACAGGTTCATACGGACATGCCTCAGAATCGTGAATCGTAAATCGTGAATCGTGGGGAATGTGGTGTCTCAAGGCTGCCAAAAGTGCCGACGAGTCGAATTCCCTGCAAATGCTCAAACAAATGATTCCAAACAATTACTAAGAGTGTAAGTTGGTTATTGATTTCAAATAAACCATAGTAAATGAGGCATTGAATCCCCGTTGAGCCATATAAATCTTCAGAGACTAGATATAATTTGAAAATCTTTCATAACCTGCACCCAGGCAATCCACAGAATGTCCCTCGGTTGCGGGGACACGTCATCATTGTCCCTTGGTCAATTTGCAGGTATTTCGGTTAGCAGAACGCCAAGGAACACAAAGGCACGAGGGCAACAATAAACATGGGTGGGCAAAACTTTGGGAAAATATTGACTCAGTTATACGAGTTCCATTTTTGTTCGTCCGCCGACTCGAGTAAATAAAGCATTTTCAAATTTATGCATATGCATGTCAACTCAGCTCAACTCAGCTCAGCTCAGCGCGGCTCAACTCGACCGAGAGCCTTCCCCTTTCCCGTCGTCGTTCGTCATCGTGGCCATCTGCACAAGTGCCAGCCAGCTTGGCTTTATTTTAGCTAGTGAGAGTCAAGGTTAATGCCACTTAAATATCTGGGGTGGTGCCAAGAGGCTGGGGTGAAATGTCTAATAGAGTATCTTTTCTGTTTTATTTAAAAGATAACTTCAATTGCTCTTGTACCAGCCATTAAAGCGTTTCGTATAGAACATATGATCCAACCCCATTCTGGAGAATAATTGCCTTAACTTGGAAAGTCATAATATAGATCACCTATAGGAACTGCGCTAGTTTTCCATTGGCTACTTCAGGCCCAACTCGGCACCGCAGTTTGCCAGTTGGCCAGTCCGTGTCCCTGTGCATTGGCGTCATCTGCTCTGTTGGCTTAGCTGTCGGCCTCGGCTGGGCCATTTGGCCAGGTCCGGTGACCTGACATTTACTTAACAGCCAAGCCGGCTCAAGTCTTCTTCGGACGACTGACGGCTGTTGGCCTCCTGGCCAACAGGTCACAATTCGTGAGTCTCCTGGGGGCGGAGTCATGCGCAAAAATGTTTAAATCATAATTAAAAGCTTTAATTGGCTCGAGTAACCCTTAATGCGACAGGAAAGAGATCAAAGGATTGGACTGAGTCACCCCGCAGCATTTTGGGTTTCAATAAGTTATTTCTTTTGGAGGAGACAACATCGGGACATCGAGGACGTTGTGAACATTAGGGAACATGAAAATTAAAATGGAATTTTCGATCCCGTGCTGATAGTATTCGCTTCAAAACAAAGAAAGAAACAAGTGCTTGTTTGCTGGCTGATTGATAAATTCGTTAGCGCAGGCATGTAAAATTTAGAAAAACAAAAAACAAAAGGCAGAGGGTAGAGGGCGATCGATTTCCGAGTTGTTTGGCTTTCGATTAGGAGGCGGAGATGGAGATATACACAAATCGGACGTGGCTGTTGTGGCTTTTTGTATCATCTGCAATTACGACACGAGGTCTGTTTGCTTATGTACATATTACGCAGCGAAAGAGCCGCAGATCCAAGCGACTTGACCGGCTAGCGGTCATTCATAAAACCCAGCAATAGCCAACGACAAGCTTTTTACGCAATCGGCAGCCTTGTGCCAAAAAATAATACTAGTAATAATGCGCAAAAATAATAATAATAAATACATAAAAACCAGCGCAGCGCAGTGAGCCAATGGCTGAATTTAAAATAAAATGCCTCAAGTTTTCATTAAAATCGCATGCACTTTATGTTGAAAAATCAATTAAAAGCGCCGGCCGTCGCTAGCAATTAATGCAAATGGCCAGAAATAAAACTAAATTAAGAGCTCTGCGAACTCGAATGAAATGTAAACATGCAGCGGATTCCGATTTCTATTCCGATTCGAAATACAAAACTGAGCCAGTAATAAAATATTATTAAATATTATATCAAACGTGCGCTCTTAATATTTACCCAGGAGGAATTTATTTCTGGAAAATGGAACAAATGCACAAACTATTTGTGTAGCCAGCAAATGCAAATAGTCGGGTGCAGATGAAAATTTCAATCACTTCAGCCAATACATTAAAATTCGCATTGGAAAAACAGCCGAATGGTCGAATGTTTGGGAAATCGTGAGTATGAGTAATTGGTGCTTTTAGTTGTCTAATTTCAATATACAACGTGTTACACTGCTGCTCGGAAAACAGGGCATAATGTGTGGAAATAAGTTGAATGATTTCCCCTTTTTTCAAATCGAAATTCAAAATTCGAAGATTTATGTTATGCAGAATGGAGATATGAGTTCAATCAAAAAATTTAAAAAATACTTTAGAGACAAGTAGAAAAACCAAAATCCCATCGAAAGTCCAAAAATATTGGAACACTCACGTGGGAGCTAGAAAAAAGAACCTGTTTCTGACAAGGCGGCGCTTGGACTTGCTTAGACACTTTGGAATATAATGATTAAGTGAATGTTTATGCATCGATGTGAATGCTGTCGATTCGAAATGACGTCACTGTGACGTCAAGCACAAACCGCTTTTATTTTTATTTATTTTTTTCGCCATTCCGTTCCTCCTTGAATTAATAGCAGGTGGTGGGGGCAAAACGGGGCCGGCGGCAAATGCCAAATTAAAACATGTACACAATGTCAATAATACATCGTCATAGTATTCAAATGAAGTTTGACAGACACACACAGAATGGCAGAAAGAGTAGACACAGGTGGCCTTATTTTATTCACTTTTATTCAGCTTACCACTGGGGTAAGAGCCGAGTTGCGGACTTGGTCAGAGCGCGGGCCTTGGCCATTATTGCTACCAATGTGGGTTGGCATTTGTGCCGCCCGCAATCGCCGTATTTATATCCCCTGTCTGTCTGGCCAAAGCAAATAATCAAATAATTTGTCAGGTTCAAGACCAGATGATCAGCTTGATTTGTGAGCTAAAAGGAGACAAGTGGATTGTATTAAAAAAGCAATTTATTTCGATTCTTTTGCTTGCTGCTGGGAATAATAATACGAGTATAATTCGTGTGTATTCAAAAAACCTGGCTTGGGGTGCTAATAAATTATTAATCCTTTTTCACACTCACTTGCGCTCTGGTGTACAGCTAAAAATAACATTTGCTTTAAGTCCTTTTCCGATAATAGCCTAAAGTCATAAAAATATTTATTTATACATATATCCAATTATTCATAGCACCTCGCCGTCCAGCAACAGCGTTTTCAATTACATTTGCCAATGGTTATAATTAAAACAGCAGCGAATTATTTATTGCGCCCATTATTTTTTGTTTTGCTGCGGTTT